AGGGTGCACCACGAGGAGGTAAGTCTATCTAACACCCCACGCTTCTAAGGCACAAGGATACTACTCTAGAAAGAACCAATGAGTTCACATATCTCGGAATGACGTTTGGCACAAAGCTAACGTGGAAAAGTCACATTGCTAAAGTAGTAGAACGAGTCTCAAATAGACTGAATGTACTGAAGCGTCTTGCTGGCAGCGTATGGGGCTGTGCACGCTCAACTCTCAGCACAACTTACAAAATGTTTATTCAGCCAGTAATGTTGTATTGCTGTGAGCCACTCATTACAGCCACAGAGGTGACTCTCAAACCACTCGAGAAGGGACACAACCAAGCATTACGACCAATTACTGGAGGGATAAAATCAACACCCACTGATGCAATGCTCCTAGTTACAGGAAGCACAACAATATGTTCCCTTATCAAAGAAAAGGCCTTGATCCTGTATGAGAAGCTATTGCGCATTCCCATGGATAAGTTCTTCAGCACCGGTGAGGATAGACCAAGACATTTGAAAACTCAATCTGGTCTAATACAGAAAGCCATAGAACTGAAGAAAGAATTACAAATCGACGACAAACCAAAAAGCCCCATGAACCCATTAGCAGACACTTCTTCAGGAAATCAAACACTCCTCCAGAGCAAATGCGCTCACTGGCCTTTGAGACAATCAATGTCAACTATCCTGGAGATCAATGGCTCCAAGTCTTCACTGATGGGTCATACATAGAAGACCAAGCAAACATTGATGCAGGTGTCTATTCTGAACTCTTCTCTTTCTACGCAGCAGCGGGACATAATAGATCCGCTATTGAAGGAGAAATAGAGCCCATTAGGATAGCACTATGCCAATTATGTTGCCTGGATACGAAATTCACCAAAGTGGTGATACTTTCGGACTCACAGTCAGCAATAGACTCTATTGGAAACAGAGAGACACCCAAAACAGCTGAGATAAAGGAATGTAGAAAACTCTATGAGCTGCTGAGTGAGAAAAACAAAATAGTGGTCCCACAATGGATTCCTGGACACTGTGGCATTAAAGGCAATGGGCTTGCTGACACACTTGCTAAGAAGGGGACAACGATTTTGAAATGCATGTTCAGGTCGATGTCTTTCCACACAATGAAGGCCTTACTCAGAAGAGAATTCAAGACTTCAAGGTGCAACGAACTTAAAGCTCGAACAAAGGAGAAACAGTGGACAGTGGCACTCTCCGACATAGCCGACTGGCCAAGAATCGAAGCCGTTGCTGAGTTTAGACTACGTACCGAACACCATTGCTTGGCAAAACATCTTCACAGATTGGGAGTATGCACTCAACCCACATGCCCTCTATGTAACCTACAGGAGGAAATGGAGAAGACCCAGATGATTCGATGTCTAACCCTAAAGACAACGGCGGTAAGCCAGAGATACTGGGAAGCAAGAAGACGGCTAATGAACTGCTATTAATTAACTGCCATAAATGCACCCCCACCCTTGGGGAAGCTAAAGTCAAATTTTAAGGGCTAATGATAAATATCACAAAGCCTGCCATTTGAAATAATAATAATAATAATATTCTCAATTTTATTTTTATTTTTTTATTTTTGTATTCAGTCTGGCAAAACACAATGCGATTTATTGAATGTGTTAAATTGAGAAAATTTGAATCAGTTCAAAAATTTCATCTGCAATTGGCGGTTTTCTGTGTACTCCAACTTGACATTTGGTGGAAAGCAGATCATGAATAGTACCTTGACAATTGAGGTATTGTGACTGTAGTGACCCAATGACAGTTTTGATTAACATTAAAGCCCATTAAATTGAGGACATCTACAGAAACTCTTACTAAATTTGCATATTTGCGTCATTTTGTAATCCAAGTACTAAGTCATCTGTCAAATCAGACGAATTTCTGAATAGTTAAACATATACTGGAACGTCTTTCACAATAGTCAACCGTAACAGCGGTAACGATCAGAGACACCTGACGGTTTCTGATCTACTTTTGCACGAAAACTAATTTTGCATCCCTTCAATTAGAGGCTTAGAAAGTCAAACTGTGGTTGCACAAATAGAAAGAGTTATTCTGGCAATAGAAAAACGGTGATTATCCATTTGATTATTACTCTTAAAAGAGTAAGCATTAAAATTCTATTAACACTTGGATGGGAGCAAGTTAGTGGTGGTTATAAAACGCCCAATGGGAAATACAAACATAAGACATGGAGTAATGCAACTGCTAGTCAGTGCTTGACCTGTTTCGTACCGCGGGAATCTGGTGGATGGCACTCGTCTTCGAGATCACGAGGAATGAAACCTAAAACACAAACAAAAAGAAGATTTTAGCCAGCACTACCTACTGGTGACAACGAAATCTTTCAAACAAATGTTGATGGTATAAGCAAAGCAAGAACTGAACTAATAGATAAAAATCTCACTTTCTTATATGCTGCCCAGTGGGCACATGAACTTTCTTTACTGAAATTATTTCAAAATTCATTTATGAAAAGGCCATTGAGCCTCCCTAATGAGAGGCAGACAACTTCTAGTTTAGGTAAATCTAATCAGAACTATTACCGTTCCCCATCTCCGCACTGCCTTTATAATATTTGACCTCATAAAGCTGATCTAATCAATTACAGAAGCCTCTCCTTCATCTAAATTCACTAAAATTCGTGAAAAATGACATACCTGACTCCGTCAGATTCATAGACTCCGGATAATTCGCACAATGAAAGACGATTCTGTTTAGCGCCAGTAAAAATTGACCTCTTGGTTCTTTTGCATTTGGATACTAGGGCATTCCTACGTTTTCTATGTTTTGAAGACACGACAGTGGTTGTGATTTCCATGTCTGTTTGGGTTTCAAGTTTAACCACTGCCAACTTCCTTTTTCTTCCACGTCCTCCTGGGCACAGTGATGACTGCGCAGTGGCTTCTTCACTCTCCATGTGTTGAGCCTCGTTGAAAGGAGGTGATCCATCAGATTTTCTCGACTGTTCATGTTTGTGTGGCTGAATCGGTTGGTGCTCAGCATTCAACTCAGATTGAGTAGGTGCATCATTTGGAGTTAGCGAGACATCAGAAATCTTCTGAATTTCTTCCGTCTCCCAATCAAAATCTCCACTTGAAGACAAAAATTTAACAACCACCGACTTTCGTGTCCTCCCACATTTTTGCGTCTGTGGCTGTGCCTCAACTGAATCAGGTTCTGCAAATTCAATAACTTGATTTGTGATTGCATCTTGAGTTACATAATCAACCACTGTAGAAATAATTTCTCCTTCACGACCTGGTGGGAGTATATTCGATGATCTATTTTCTGATTCTTGATAGACATTTTTGGTAAGTCTTGAACATGGATCGTAATCTTCATCCGATAATTCATTTTTTGAGGAGACAGCACAACTTTGAATTTCTACTCCCTGCAGTGATTGCATTTCCATAGGAACAGGAGTCGAGTTTGAAAGTAAATTGATAGGTGATTTGACCCGTTGCTGTTTCTCCTGCCATATTTCTAATTCTGCTTCCGTTTGCTGCTTGTTTTCTTCAGGAAGGAAATAAAAAGCCTTATATGATGACAAATAATTAGTCCCCGTACCTTTGCAAGATTCAGCAGCATCAGAACTGATCGACTTTTCACAAACTTCAGGGATTTTCGAAGTCGGGGCACCTTCGCCGCCCTTCATTCGTGAAAGCTATGAATAAATACTTAAGGTTTCATTTCATTTACATTTTACACGTATATATACTGTGAAAATGGCAATGAGTGGTAATCATGCGAACTAATCATCATTCTATTCATTATAAAATTGAACTTCAAGATCACCATTTAATGCAACTTTAAATTAATTATATTACCTGGTTGAAGATGTGTCAAGAGTTTAAAGATACCTTTGCTTTAGTAACTTCACCTTTCAGGATTAAATAGGTAAATTAAAGATGACAAGAGTGTTGCTCAGTAGGTCAGAAACTTCAGCGACAACAACTCTTTAGATCAAGAAATTCGATTTTGTCGTACACGATCTTTCTGTTTACGCTTATGGCTTCCTGCTTGAAGGTGAAGTGGCGAATGTGCTGGCTGCATTCGTCTGAAAGCGATTTACGGACTTTGGTCTAAATGAGCAAGTTCTGGACTAGAGGGAGGAAGCAGAAGTGTCTCCCGTTGAAACATGTTTGTCTTATCAAAACTTCTAATTGACAATAAGCCTAAATTGCCTTCTTCTAGTTATTAATTAAGAATGGCAGTGAATTAATCTCTTCCTATAATAAAATGACCTCATATAATATTAATTATCCACACAAATTTGTCCAAAAAAGCGAATTTGAACTGAGAGAGGAAACGAAAAATCCCTTGAATGTGCGTGCATTAATCATTTTCCATCATTCGCAGGTCACCCACCAGGTCATCACATCCTTCTCTGGAATACATAAGCTCATTTTCATCTTGGAGATCCTCATGACAAAATCATCTCTCTCCTCCTCCTCCTCCTCCTCCTCCTCCTCCTAACACTCTTCTTACTATAATATGAGCTTCGTGACATTTACTCGAAGGATGATAACCCAGTCATACTCTATCATACACACCTTGATTTTCAAACTCCTTGCTCTTTCCAATCTATCCGATCATATTCGGGGATTTCTTTCTTTGTATTTTTCAGGATGTTTTCGAATTCTATGCTATTCAAGGCGTTTTAATTAGCTTATTTTCATTTGCCCAAGTCATGCATTTTTACCTCATTCTTTTGACACACTCATTCTCTCATACTTCGTTGGGGATTTCAAATAAACCTCCAATACCTTAGTGGGCTCCAGGTGACATAATATTCAAAAGAACATCTATATTTCAATTTTTTGGAAATAATTAATGACAACACTGATTTCTATTCTCTTTCCAAAAGTTGACTAAATCAAAGCTATCTGTAGCCAGAGTCAATTTTGTTTTGGTGACTTGGTCGAAATTGTAAACCCAGCTTATGCCAACTTCAGATTCACCAACCAAGAATGTCTGCTTGAAAAGGCGGATTATCTTAGATGGTATTAAAGACCATCGCAAATATCTATATCGGACACTACGCCCGAAAATTCATTTACTTCACTTGAGTAATTCACTGAGAGTTCAATATTAATAAATGAGTATAGTTCTCACTACGTTAAAGTAGTGAGAATATAGGAAACATGAAATTAGAGCAAGTTAAGTGAATAGGAGTAAGAGCAGTTTAATGAATCAAGAATATTGCTCGATGATTGGCATGAACTTTCGAGAATGAGGTTTATTACCTGAAAACAATGAGACATGAAAGCAACATACTTAGAATCGTGACTTTCGGTATATTTGTAATATTTGAATTCAAAACCATTAGTTTAATCCCTCACCAAACAATGGAAGCCATGGAAGACGTCTGTGGCTTCAATGCCATAAACGCGAATAATGCGTCTCGCTTCAACTAGCACATTTCACTCTTCAAAGAGTAGCCATTATTTTCATTCCCCATGCATTTAAACCGCAGCATCTTTATTTCTTCAAAGCAGACAATTGTCCTCACGGTAATGAACATTAATCTTCTTATCATAAAAGACATTAGCATTTAATTATTCCCTGAAACTGTGTCTCTAACAAAGAGAGATTGGATTGTAGTCATATTTGAAACACTCTCCTGCGAAACAATTTATATTGATTTCAATAAGTAAAGATATCAAGAATTTGAATGGAATTGCCTATCTCAGTTCGAACAGCAACAATTTAGTTTTGGTTTGAAAAAAAAGTTATCTCTTATGATTATATCAAAGTTTCAATTGATTTGATATTTCAAGCAACCAATCCACAGGCTTGAGTGCAACAAACTTTGAATTTCTCAATAATTGGAGGATTTTGAATTATGTAAGTACTCTCATAATTTCATTATTGTTTGCGTTAAACCAGGAGGTATATACATTTTCCACTAAAAATCCTGCACTTTTTTCTCAACCAATGAGAATCAGTCCAAGTACTCTACGTGGATATATATATATATATGCTCCAATAATTTAACAATCGTTTAAAGTGCTATAGAATGTTGTTCATTCTACAGTTATTGATAGTCCACAAATTTTCAAAGTGTAAGTTGTTCTGCTTCCCATCACTCTGGTCTAGTTGATCAGAATCGAAATATTGAAATGATATTAAAGACATTTGTAATGTTTGGTTTCTTTAACTTAGATGCTGAAAGCCAAGAAGTTTATGGATCGAGAATTGTCACTTCCAATAGGGGTCAAATAGGACCCCTGCAGTTTGCAATGTCAGCACGTCCAGTGAGTTACCATCATTAATCATGAAGGATATCTTCTTGAAAGAGCAAAAATGACAATTGCAACTTTGTCACCTTCTATTGAACTTTCTTATTTCACGTTTAATTAGGAGGGGACAGTTCACCATAAGAAAGGAGAGTGGGACGAATTAGTCATAGATTCGAACAATAATTGCCTTATTAGGGACGGAGTTGTTGGTAGGCCATGCCACTTAAACAAAGGTACGTCTTTTTTCATTTTCCTATGTCTCACAAAAGTTCGATTGCAAATTTGAAACAAAAAAACAGTGCTGAGACTGGAAAACTTTAAAAAAAATGGCTTGATTCATAAGAGTTTCGTATTAAATGTTCGGTTGGGAGTTTAAAGGTACTTCCCGGACAGTTCGCTTTTATCCTTTAAACGAACCTTTAAATTGACAACTTTTTGAAGACAAACATTGGCACGCAAATGTTTAATTCTCAGTAAAATTTTAAATGGTAGGTGTAGCTATTTCATGACTCTATCGACTGCAGCATTGGGGAGCGCAAAATCCTAACCTGATTAAGTTCAGCAATCTCATGTGCACTCGAGCATTCATGTTGATGCAGTTGTAGGAGTAGAGGACTTCTCAGCTGATCAGCTATTAATATCATTCAAGTTAGGTAGACTATGTCCAAAGTAATAATCACGTCTGCTGTGTGCGTAATTTCAGCGAGCGCTTCACTCGCTCTACCTCTGTCTCCTCCATCTCATTGAATTGAAGTAACTAATTCCGGCTGCCTTTCCACACATGAATACTTTGGGCATAGAGACTACTGGTAATAAGTCAACGCTTATTGATGGGGCAATTCGATGCATAGTAAAACGTTTTACTAATCCTGATGTGATATGCTCGACCATTTGCATGCATACTTACTCACCTGAATTCCATAGATTTAAATTAGAACTTCACTTTTAAGAATATAAATTAAAATTTTATTTCAAGAACTTACTTATTTAACTGATTTAATAATTTCCTTTCAGGATTGAATTTGGCTACAATTTCCCTCTACGACGTTTATGGTTACCAATATATTGAAGTGACAGATGGCAACTACGTGTATACGGTGTACTTCACCGATGACTGCCAATTTCCCTCACCAAAATCAGGTATTTAATCAATGCCTACCTTAATGCCCTTCTAACTTCTAATTTGATGCAGTTAATCTGGAATAACGTAATCAGTAACTAATAATTGCTGTGGGTATTGTATTTCAGTCAAATTCAAATTTTAGAGAGATAATATTTTCAAAATGAACAATCTTTTCACTTTAGGTGATGTATTAATCCCTCCTCTAATACCACTTTATCGGTATTTGAAAGGTGAAACATCGGTCGATCTGGAATTTAAAATCTACGATGCAGCTAAAAGTAAAATGGTATCAGTTTACGGAAAATTGACTTTTAAATTATTTGTTTTTAATTATTCATTGAGTTAATTATTGCAAGTGATTGTTCCAAGTGTTTGATAGTTAATAAATTTTGCATGAACATAGATCATTTTGAAGAGAAATGAATAATAATAATCTTAATTGACTAATAATCAAAGATCCCATTGTTGACTTTGGTCTCCAATAGATTAATCTATACGAGAATTCGTCAATAATTTGTACTTGGAACGAGGGTGTATCGACGAATGTGAAGCTTTGTCGTAAGCGATTGTGAATAAAGCTGACTGTCGCTTCATTCCCATTTCCAATTGAAACTTATCTTTTAGCTCATCTCACAACCGACAGCAGCACTCTCATATCAGATGTGAAAATTAGACTGAACAAGGGAGTGAGCAGTTTTATGACTTACAAATGGGGTACAAATGATAGTTCCGTTGCTGTAACTCTGGATTGGATGAATTCAGGTGATAAAATGACTAGCATTACAATTAGTTTTAAAAATATCTAATAAATTCAATTTATTTCCTTGAAGGTGTTCCCCCTGAGGCCACTGAATGTCAAGGTAAGAATTCCTAAAATTCGATAGTGGTAATTTAGTTGTATGTTTAAAGTTAATGTTTTAATGTTTGTACTTTTTCATTTTCCTTTTTAAATTAACTTCTCTTATTATCCTTTCGCAAACCCATTAACAATCCTGTTAAACACTTACCAACTCAATTATTAACCTGATGTATTTCTCCCATCAAATTTCTGTTCAACAAAATATTACGTGTGTACATATCCTTATGTATGTGAAGATGCGAGTTGCTCATTCTTAAACTGTGAATGACATTTAATTGACTTTTCGTTATTCGAATAAATATCTTTAGCTGATTAGCAATCCCTCTTTAAAGCTAATTACAAAGACCACAATCCTATTATGTAACAAACATGGTCAAATTGAGCAAAAGATATGTTTTCGTGGGTTGTAAGAACTTCGGAACCAATCACTC